CTTCCTTCCTCACCCCGCGACGCACTCCTACCCGCAGAATCCCACTAACCCTACTCTCCCGTTCTCCCCCTTTGCCCACCCTCACCCCGCCAGCACTCTCCCACTCCACTCCCTCACCCCAGCCATTTCACTCAAACGTTGCCCTCTGAACTGCTACTCAGAACACCTGTGCATTGCACACCGTAGGAGTATGCACTTGTACTGTTCCTGGCTGCAGTGACTAATTTGAGCTTGTTCCATGGGACTGAAATTTGACTTGACTTATTACAGAGGTAATTTAATATGCACACCACAAAAACAGTGATTGTGTAGTGGTCATATTTTTTATTTTGATACCAGCGCTTGAAAGAAGTGATAAAAAAAATAGAATTTTGTAGTTAAATGGAAGTTTGTGACGAAAGTGTTTATTTAGAAAAAATATGTGGCATGAAAACTTGTGGCGATATTAATAATGCAAAGTTTAGCAAGACCACAGACTATTGTAAACCAATAGTGGTCTAAATGGTGTCACAGAAAATAAAAAAATAATTGTGTAACATATATAACAAGTATAACAAGATATTGTTGGATCCTCGTCAACAATTCTGTAACGCATGCATTCCTAAGAACTTATTATATTGGTATGCATGTCATTATTACTAATTAAAATAGCGACAGATTGATAAAGTACATAGCGGTTTTAGTCATGCAAACATTGTCAACTTCTAGACAGAAGTTATTCTGATTCATGTGTGTGATGAATCTACTATTGTAAACACTCACCGTCTCTGGATTTTCCGTCTTGCTGGGACTTCTTGTCCACCAGCCCAAACATGCTCACCGTTACGTTCATTTACAACACTGTCCCGTACTAGTTCAATTTATGTAACAGCGAGAGTCATTGCGATAAATAAACAAATCGTTAAAAGAACAGGATAAATGCACGCACTTGCAGAACACCAGAACACCGAACGCCATACTAAATCGTTCTTCAAGAATCCGCGCGAGGGCAGCACCTGTCGTTACCACAGCCTACTATAAACTCTATAAAGAGCCCGCTCTCTCAACTGCGACGTTGCCGCGTCTCTTTCGCGCCTTTCAATTGAACAGACGCGGGATGCCGACCACCCCACTCTTGCCTCATTTGGCCTTGAGGTAAGTGTTAGTTACGTTTTACCAGTCTATTGGGGCTAGCAAGTTCTCAGTTAGATTGAAAGTTTTCACGGAAGGGGCAACGGGGTGTCAACTAACGCATTGACCGGGCATTATCCCATCCCTCAAATAGCCCAAAGCATCATACAGCATAAAGGTGCTTGTGTGCGCAGGCATGCCTGGGAAAACCAATTTTTGTTTAGACAATACAAAGAACAGGTGAGAGAGAGAGAGAGAGCAACAAATTTTCAAAGTAAAGTAGTTTTTATTCCTATATCCATAATTAATTATTATTATTTATTATCACAGAATAAAACGGGTATTTGAATCATATATTTAACCTAATTCAGTTATGAGTATTCTTAAAAAGAATTATTTTCAACAAATATTATATCTAAATATACTATTAATACTGTAACAGATGTCCTTAGATTTTCTACAAATGTCCCTTTCAATGTCTTAATTATAAGTAATCTTTAAGAAAGAAATGACGTAACGTTCAGAAGTCAGCATATACAACAAACCCAACATATACATCAGCTCAGAAGTGAGGCAAGCACACTTTTCCAGCAAATAACTCTGAGATAACAGTGATCCAAAGGGCCAAAACAAACAAAATATAAGATATGCCTACTTGGTGACTATTGGGCAATTGATACGGTTGTCCTCCTATTTCATCTACATGGAAACCCATTGGAAATATAACAGCAGCCATACAAAAGAGAACCACTGAAAAAAAATAAGAATAAACAGAATGTTAAAATCATGAAAGAAACAGATTGGCTGTTAATCCGTTATTGAAAACTTACTTGCGGTAAATCCAACCCATCTTGCATAGGGCACAACATTTCGGTCCCAGTGAGACGATGCCAACAAAATTATAGTTGTTGTTATGCAAATGCATCCCACAAAAATGCAGACTAATGCCAGCAACCATTCAGGCTGAAGGTCTGGTGTGAAGCAAACCTGAGGTCTGTCGTATAGAGTCATGCAGGTCCACATAAGTCCAAGTCGGGTATCGCCTGTAATCAGTGAGTTAACAATTAAAACACACAATGCAAGAAAATTTTGACTGTAAAATTGAACAGGTAAGTAGATAAATAATAGAAAAATAGTTATTTCACAGGTAAAACGTAAGTCAACAGACGTAGGCTGAACAAAAGAGTAAGGTTATAATAAAACCAACCTCCGACATCTGTGATAATCCAGTCGGGCATAGCGAGACTCACGATAGCAAACACATCTGCAGCCATGAACAGTGTGCCAGAAATAATCGTTAGTTTATCCATTTTCATGCATTAAATGAATCGTTTTTTTGTTTTTTTGACATCTACTTGCGAAGAGCCTTGGTTTACCAACAAACCAGACGTGAAGTGACGTCATCACAGTCTGTCCTCACTGCAAATAGTGTGTATGTTGTATTCTTATTCACAGATTAGGGGAGAACTTCCCTCTGCTTCCCTCGCGTACGCGTACATTTCCGCAGATTCGTTTATTAGGTTGATTGTGATGAATCTTTGGTTGATTATATCCAAAGCCCACTTGGCATGTTGGGAACAAATAAATAAGAAACAATGCTCACGTATTATCAGTCCAATATACATATAATCTTTAATATACTCTCATGTCAAATCACAATAACATGTTCTTTTCATCTGTAAAGAAACAGTACTTACTGAAAAATACAAGATGCAAGTTAGGCACCGCAAAAACGCTGCCAGGTTGGAGGTCAATACTTTCAAAAATAAATGATACTAGGTATTTCAGAAATGGGACAATAGCAACAATGTGAAACTACCGTTGCAGCTCGCTGGCTGCTGAGGAGAGGTTGTAGCCATTGGAACAAATACACAATACTAATACAGGGACAGACAAGATATTTCCAAATAAAACAAGTAAAAACTCATTTTATCAAAATGGCACAACCAGATAGGTAAAGCTGCACAAATCTAGTCAATAGTTAAGACATTGATCCTTCAACATAGACGCAGGAGTCATGATATTTATGACATGTTTGAAGTGATGAAACCGCTGCATGTCACCAAACGGTGTTTAACACATATGTATTGCCTTTGGGAAACCTAGCATGATTTTCCATCATAATACAACTTAATACAATAAAATATTTTCAGGTTAAACTTAACAAAACTAGCACAGTCACTGGACTCAATTTCTATACAAAATTATCAAATACAGGAAAGCTAGACAAACACAACCCAACACGAGTCCAATTAAAACTACAATGCCTGTTAGGAAACAACTTAAGTTGCACAGGTTTACATTACCTTTGGTTGGTTAGAACAAACTCTCAAGGCACTACAAAGTTTTTTCTAATCTCCCTTCTGAATTTGAGATCTTATTTAGAACTAGTTACAGACTTTTCAAAGCACCAAAGGCAAAAAAGGTTGTGTGCACAAAAGTTCTCCCTTCAGGTCAAACTCTTACAAAGCTATTAAGACATTGCACTACATACAAACTTGATTCAACAGAGAAAGAAAAGATGTGGGAGGGAAAAAAAGGGGGGGGGGATACAATTGAGGAGGACAAACTGTTCAATGTTTTAGAAGAAACAACAAGCATAAGCTTGATCTGAGGTGAAGTATGTATGTATTATACATCTCTGGAATGTTAAAGCTCATACCACTGAACAACCCAACCAATCAAAAAAAAAAAAAAAAGGAGAATATCATTTAAAACAAACATTCAAAAGGTAGAAATTTTAAAATAAAAATGTGATTGCACGATGTGTAAAGTCTAAATAAAAAATAAAAATATTGTTCTGGTAACAAACAAATGTACAGATTAGAACAAAAGAACTCATTGTTTTGTTTTGATTTGAATTACATCTGCTCACCAATTTACAAGAGACTTGGCAAAAAACCACAGACTACAAGATATCTCTAGAAAATCACCATCTACTAGCAACAATGCCTACTAGTACCTTGTAGCACTAATGAACTCTTAGGAGCAAAACGACTTGGACATTATAATAGATAACTAGAACACTTCTAAATCGTAGACATAATCTTAGAATGTATCACAGTCACTTGACTATCATTTCTTCCTCAAGCAATCACCAAAGGCTCATCATCTGAGAAGCCACGAATCACTGGAGAATCTTCCTCCTCTGAAACAATAAAAAAGCACAATTTAATACAATATAGTAGCATTAGTAGGTTTTGCTCTGCTGAAATGACCATATTGATTTCTTTAGGTAATTTAATGTGTTGGGTACAAGCGCATATCCCCACAAAAACATAAGATATGTAGGCAACTTGCACTACTTGCACCTACAAGTAGGCAACAGACACAAGATGACCCCTCCCCCGTTGCAAATCCTGGTTGTGTGTTATAAATTGGGGCATAAAACTTCGCACAGTAAGAATTTACAGAACATACTAACTACCATTATTCTAAAATAATGATTGGGGGGAAAAAAACACAGAAAAATCCGATTATTTGATTAAACCATAACTAGTTTCCCTCTTCTTACTCTGACTTAACTCTCAAGCAGCACCTTGTGTTTAAAAAGAACTGGAGCATGAAATCTATGCCATAAGTACAAGGCAATACAGTAAAGCATGGACGGACAAGAGGCACTAACATACACAGACCCAAGACTACACAACCAACAAGATTAATGAAGGTGCTTACCAATAAAATCCCCCCCTGAAAGATAAAAAAGAATGCACATTTTAAGAGGCTACTACAATATCTGAACAGCACCAGTGATGTATGATGCAAGAGGTCATATCATGTAATCAGAAAGTGAATTTTTTTGTATGTAGTAGGGTTTATCTTACCAAGTCCATCCGCACCACCAAAAGTAGCTGCCCCTGATCGTGTATCATAATGACTGTTAGCAAAAGAGGCAAAGCTGTGTTGAAGCCGCCTGTGGCGCCACATGAAGAATGTTAGGGCCATAACAAGCCCAACAACGAGTATCAATCCAGGAAGAACAGTCCACAGCAGAACGCCACTTCGTACTGCAGCAGTCCAAGACCCTATAAAGGGAGACACACACACAGATGTTAAGTATTTATTACTGTGACACTATGTGTGATACTTTTTCAAAGCAAGAAACACAAAACTCACCTAAGGGAACTTCAATAGATCGGATTTCTGAAAGACTTGATTTGTACCCATTCAAAGTAACTGCCCTAACAGCAAATGAATAAACTATTCCCTCGGATACATCATACAAAGTGAATGGTGGAGCTGGAGCAAGGAATCTCTTGGCTATAGACTCATTCAATGTCTTTCCCTCAGAGACTAAAATCTCATACTGATATCTGTTAAAACAAAAGTTTAGAGCTGTACTTTAAACCAAATTAGTTAGCCCAAGAGAAGACAAATACTTACACATCTGGATGAACTGTTTTTTCCAAAGGTTGATCCTTCCAAAACAAAATGTAACTTCCATTTTCCTTTGGCTCAACTTGGAACTGATGTGGCGATGGAATGGGGGGTGCATCATACGAAATAGGACCAGCAATTACAGCATTTTCAGCATCTGTCTGAACTGTTATGTTGTAGTGGCCACCAGAGTGAACCCTGAAATGAGTCTCAATATAACTATCATTGGTCGGTAATGTTGTGATGGCTGAGGTATGGTTTAGACTTGTTTCGGTAATAGTCACCTACGAACACAAGAAATACAATTATTACTTTAAAATTAGAATGGTAAAGCAATGCCAAATATTCTGATCTGAAGAATACATACAACATATCGAGTGGCGTTGTTATTGAAGCTTGGACATGATGCATTCCAATGTACAATCATAAATGTGTCATTTGAACCAGGATTCTTTTCTGAGTGTGCACCTAAATGCCTGGGGGGTGCTTGGTGATAGTAAACAGTGACAATTGGACGAGAGGGAGGCAATGTAGTTAGAGGACCATAACCAAGGGGACCAACAAGCCCAATAGCAAATAAATAGGATTCACATGGTAACAAATCCTTTACAACTGCTTTGGTTTTATCACTAATAAGTCTTGGTTCTGAACAGAAAGAGAAATAAATTTTGTTTAGAGCAATGTTGAGAGATATATACAGAGCACAACCATATCAACAATTAGATCATCTTATGATTTTTTGATACTCACTCTCCAAGAGTTCATTCATTGTAAGCCCATAATATATTCCATACTTCCAATTCTCGCTTCGTGAGTCATTGACAGCATCCCATTTTAGTTCGACTGATGATTGACTATCTCCAAGTACCACAGCTCGTAAACCAGTCACTTTGGGGAGAGGCTTTCCTGTGGAATATTAAAATGGATCATTAGGCATTCACAGTAAAAAGAATCTACTTTTTAAACCAATTGTATGACTGTTGAAATAATCAGCTAACCATTTATCTTTGAGGAGACAGTTTTCAATGGTCCAGGGAAGTTCTTATGCCAAGCTCTTATACGAAACAGAACTACTAAGCCAGGAGACAAGTTGGGTACTGAAAGAGATTAAACAAAACAATTTTTGATTGCAAGCAACAAAGACTTTCAAATGCAGATAAAAGGTGTGGTAGGACTTTTAGGATAAATTTAATATACCAAATTAACTTTTAATTTGTTGATGAATGTCTTACTTGTGATAGTAGTATTAACTGTCCTGTATGGTTGAAATGCAGGATAGTGCAGAGGTGCTTGGACCATAATTTCATATTCAACAGGTCCATCAGAAGCTGACGAAGCTTTCCATACAAGGGTCACAGAATCTCCTGATTGAGAGGCGACCTTAAAATCATCGACTACACTTATAGCTTGAATGCCACTAAGTTCTAGTTTCACAACAAGAGAGTTGTTACTTTCCAATTTGTTATTGAATGCCACAACCTAGATAAAGTTAAAAGTTGATTACTTTCTTAATTTTTATAAAGTATGACATCAGCAAAGAGATACTACACATGAAACTTACCCAGAAAGAGTAATTTGTTTTGGCTTCAAAGTCATACTTTATTGTTGCACGAGGCTCCTTAGTTTCTATTGATTTTGGTGGAAGAGGTGGAGTCATGTAAACTCTATAGCCCACAATTTTACCTTGTGGGTGAATTGGTGGTTCCCAAGTAAGTTGAACCTCATTGTAGTTCACGGGTTTGGCTTGAACTCTCCATGGTTCACTGGGTGTGTCTTCTCCGGTTGAAGCTTGCACATACTTTGCAGGTGGGAAAGCTTTGTCAGTTCCATTGACACGAACATAAACAGTCATATTGTACATTGTATTAGCTGTCAAGTTGGAGAACCTGAAATCAGGTTGTGAAATCCAACGGGTATGATTTTTCCAGACTGGTAATTGCTGACGACCAGATGGTACTACTGGGGCAATGGATGGCATGTACTCGAGCTGGACATCTTTTGGTACAGGTATCCACCAATACAACAGAAGGGTATGTGGATCTTGCAACCGTTCATCATAGCCCATTTGTGACACCTGATAAACCCTTGTACCATTTTTGGTGCAATTATGTTCGTCATAACCATCCATACAATTCATTGTGCCATCACAGAAGACAGCAATGGGTATACAGGTTCCATCCAAGCAAGGAGAAAATCCGTAAGGGCATCTAGGTGCTGAGGGTTCTAAATCTTTTTCTGGATTACAAGAGGACTCATCAGATCCATCAGGGCATTGAGGTATACCATCACAAACTTGTGAAAAGCTGAGGCATGACCCATCAATTCGACATGTGAACAAGTGATGTTCATGACAGTTTGTGTTTGCATCACAGTTCAATTCATCTTCACCCTTAGAACATTCTATAGTGCTGTCACAAACCCATGCATCCGGTATACATTCTCCTGAGTAGCACTGAAAGTGGTTTGCTTCACAAGTTGATTTAGGAATCAGGTCGGTAGAGGTTTCTTCTTCCTCCGATTCATCGTAACCACACCCAATTTCATCACTGTTGTCGCCACAGTCGTCAACTCTGTCACATTTCCACCAACTTGGAATGCAATGATTGTTTTTACAACGAATCATCCATTCACTAGCACAAGTGTCATTTTTAGGTGGAGTAAATGGAACAGGAGATGAAGTTGGGGAGGATGAACTGCAATTTAATTCATCACTACCATCATCACAGTCGGGACTTCCATCACATTGCCATGCTTTAAAAATACATGGGGTTTTTCCACTTGTGCAATTGAACTGCCATTCAGCACATTTGCGATGGTCCTGGCAGTCTTTCTCATCCGAGGCATCAAGACAATCTTTTTCCCCATCACACCTCCAAGTGACTGGAATGCATTGTGACCGATTGGCACACTTAAATTCATTCATGGGACAAGTTGTGGGTGGGGTGTGGTTGCAAGCTGCTTCATCTGAACCATCATGACAGTCATTTTCTCCATCACAAACCCATTTTATATCAATACAATGACCAGTTCCGCACTTGAATTGAGATGAAGTACAATTTTCGTGATTGCAAATTTCATCACTGCCATCTTCACAGTCCTTGTCCATGTCACACCGCCAGTGTGGAGAGATACACTTTCCATCATTGCATCTAAACATCTTTGGACCACAGACTGGTTGTGTGCAATTAGATTCGTCAGACATATCTCCACAATCGTCATTTCCATCACATTGCCATTTACTGGGTACACACACCTGATTATTATGACAAGCAAAGAAATTTGGGCCACATGTATGTGCAACTGTAACATGTAAAACTTATATTAATAATCGAAATTAAACAAAACACATATTCTGATAAACACTTCAAACAAATAAATTTAGAATGTAGTAAAAAAACTGATTAGAATTACCTTGAGGGCAAGTTCCATTTTTGAATGGTGGCTTATCACCAGGACAGGTACAGGCACCATGTTCATTCATGGTCATTTCATCTGGACAAAGGCATGTATGTGCCCCATTAGGCGCTCCTACACAAATGTGAGAACACAATGTTTGGTTGGCACAAGCATTTGTGGCTTGTTGAAGACTGTGTGCGTAGACCTAGAAATACAAGTGTATATGAGAAAAACGGGTTATTTCGTACATTTTGTGCTTTCTAGTTTCATGATGTAAAATTAAGAACACTTCACACCAGAACTAACCTTGATTTCCATCAAGCCAATCATGGAGTCAGTTATCTTTTGGATAGCAACTCCATGATCTTTATCAGCCATAAAGATAGCATTTTGTTTCCAATCATCCCAATACATGTTGTCTTTGAACACAGCGACTGAAAATGGATGAGATACCCTTGCCTACAACAAAATAAGAGTTGATTATTACAATGAAGACATCACGTCAGTAGACTAACATTGCGAGATGATTATTCCAACACATACATCCTTGCTAATAACTTTAATAACATTGTTTCCATCAAGATTGCATGAAGCAATATAATCTTCTCTAGCATCAACCCAGTACAGCCTTTCTGCAATGTAATCAATTGTTACACCATTGGGCCACACAACTTTGGTGCCTTCAAATAACCTCTTGATGCTGCTACCATCCAAATTAGCTCGGTTCACACTAGGTCTCTCAGGGTTCCAATCTGACCAAAACATGTACCTAAGCACAAAGCCGAATTTTAAGATGAACACGAGGCAAATCAAATTGTAAAAGGCATACATTTAAGCTGAACATTTGGCACTGACCCTGCTTTTGGATGTAAGGCGATTCCCCTTGGTTTCTTTAAGTTGGGAGAGCTGAGAATTGTTCTTCGCATACGCCCTTGATGACTGATGTCAGTTCTTACAGCTTCAATTGTAGCTCGTGCACCATCAACAAAATACAGCAAATTTGACACCCAGTCAAAAGCCATGCCCTCCACAGACTTTAAGTTTGTGCTGACAATTGTTTCTGGCAGGTCTACACCACTTTTCATGCATTGGCGCTGAAAATACAGACAAAACTTTATAATAGTGTTTGATTTTCAATAAGGGTTGATGAGAAAATTGAAGTATCAAAATACTCACCCCAATGGTGTCAGAGACAATATCTGCCCAGTAGACACAATTATTTCGCATGTCAAAATCAATAGCAATAACATTCTTCAGATTTAAAATGGGAAGAGGGTCCAACTTATTTGTTTCCATATCAATTCTAATAATCCTGTCTCTTTGAGCAGCAAGTAGAAAATCGTTTTCTTCTCTGAAATTTGAACAAATGCAATGACAACATGTTCTAAGATACTATTAATTTGCATTTATAAATAAAGATGACATACGTGACTCGACACGCAATCCGGTCAGGCAAGTATCTGTCTTCATGTCCACCAACACAAACATCTCCGGGAACTTTCTTGTAACCTTTGGTGCGATCATAGAATGCCCCAGGTTTACATGAAGCAGGTTGAGCAAAAGGTGATATTTTAAGACTGGGATCACGGATACAACGAGTTGCAGAGTGATCCAAGTCCCTCTTAAACCCATAATCACTATGTAACAAAATAAATATAGATTAAATTGGAAAACAAATTCAAATTATTATCATTATATAAAATTAAGAGACTAAAAATTTTCATTAAACTTACCAATCAAAGTCCTCTGCATCACAGCCACAGACCTCCATTTTAACGCGTCTGACATAATTACGACTATTGTAGCAATTTGAGTGAGGAAGACGACGTTGGTAGGTTTCTGTGCGACCTAACAGGCATGGAACACGCACCCCATCACTTCCAATGCCTAAGGGACCGCTTCCAGGGGACCAAAACTTGTAGTCATCATCTGTGCAATTGTATTCTATAAAAAAAAAAAAAAGAGAAAATTTTAATAAACTACACACAGAAGAATGACAGTATAAATAATAAATGCTCAAAAAAAAGTAACTTACTGAATGAATTCTTCATATCAACTTTCACAATGATCCACTGATGCTTTGATTTAGCCGAGCCAAACATAGTGAACACCGTTGTGTTGCCACCAGGCTCTGTCATAAGACCATACATTTTCAGGTCACTATTGGAAAAGTTGTGAGCATTAAATGTTTGTCCCTCATCAGTGGAGTACAAAATTTGTCGTGTTTCTCCTTGAGATTTATAGTATTTAACAGCAACAATAACACCCCCATAATCACCAAAATTGAAGAAATAGAGATCTTTCAAAACCTGCAAGAGTGTTTTGATAAAATTTAAAAACAGATTTAAAAGTATAAAAGAAAGCATTTTCACTTGTATAACAGAACTCCAATTTCAGCATTTCCATGTGAGAATTGCCTTGGTTGTGAATTTTGGATTCCATTGTACAAAAAGTGTTTAGGTAGAAGACCAATTTTTGAAAATTTAATACCTGTCGCCATGTAACTCCAGCATCAGCACTTAAAAACACACCAGGATGACCTTTTAAAGATTTGCCAACCATGCCTGTGGCAAGAATGATACCAGGAGCAGATTTGGAAGTAAGAATAGGAACATATCTCGTCTGAGGGTGAAGATGGGCAAAGCTCTGAGCTAAATGAAGCGAACATCCATCCTTCTGCAAAAATAATTTTTAGTTCAGAATCATTAGCAAAGTGTCACTAAGAGTTCTACAGCTTATAGTATGATACTTACAAGTTTGCAGTCAATGGGATTTCCTTCATCATCGTATTGAGGGGCATTTAATAATTTCCACTCTCCACCCCGATCAAATGTTATCATGGTTGACAAATTCTCCAGACCAATGTGACCACTAGATTTGGCTTTAGAAGTTACAACAGAAGCTATGTAAATTCCTCTGAGACCTTCAACTCGAGTCAGAGTAGCAAAAGGTTCTTCTGCAACATCGCTGCAGGGATCATGCAAAAGATATCAATTTTGTACAGCCACAGTAGAGAAGAAAAAAATGCAACAATTAAATCCCAAAGACTACTTACACAAGCCATGAACCTTGCCAGGTGACATTGGGCATGTAACAAAAGATGTTCTCAAGAGAAAGAGCAAATTTAACTGATTCTCGAGTTACATCAACAGAGACATAAAGATTAGCTAGATGGGGATCATGCACAACCACAATCATTGCTTGCTCGCCACTCACATCAGCTATGTGGTATTTCAAAGTTGGTTGGTCAGTCTGAAATTCTGCTTTCACAAAAGGGCCACGTTTGAATGACACAAGTAGTTCATGGTCAGTTTTCTAGAAAATAAATAGAGTATAAATGATTTGAAATCCACAAAATTAACTTTCTTATGCACAAGGTTAACTTGTTCAAAAATTGAATAACTCTAACTTACCTCAGCCTGTCTCACTTCACGAGTGCAAAACATAAAGTCGCCTTTCACATGAAAATCTTTGACATCTCTTGCAATAATTGTGAAACTCTTGAAAAGGTTGGTTGAACCAAGCACAGTAGATAAACCACTAGGCTCTTGTCTTTCCACATAAAGAGTTGGAACATTGTTAGATGAGCTGTCTTTGGCATCAAAATCTCCAATAGAATCATCATCTGAATCATCATTTACAGATAGTGTGCCTATGGTCCAGTAGAAAGACTTGACAGATTCTTGTACAAGAGTCCATGATTGGCCAAAATCTTTAGTCAACCAGAGCTGTTGTGGAGAAAACTTTAATTATTTTCTGAAGCCTTGTGGAAGATGCAAGCAAACTATTTCTTTAATATGAACACTGTACTACCTTTTTCATAGGGTCAACCTTGTCATAAACTAAAAATGTAAATGGATCGTCATCATGAAATAGTACATCTGAGGGATGAAAATCAACTTTTGTTTGTTCCATGGTTTGGCCACTGTCTTTGGTTTTAAAAATTACTTTGTTAGTGACATCTGTAAGCACAACCTGTAAGGAAATAGAGCAGAATTAGTACAAAATATTCTTGTAAAAGAATAGAACTTTTGAGTAAATACAGAAAGTAGGTACTTACATGAGCACTAAGTCGATGATGGTTGTAAAACTTCTCGACAATAGCATAGCCACCGTCATTCAGTTTCAACAGGTCAGTTTTGTTTTGAAAAGTGTCTCCATAGTCGTATGATATAAAGAGCGCTGAAGGTTTGGGGATCACTAGGGCACGTTGAATTGGATCTCTTGCAAGACAAAGCACAACATCAGAACCTTCTCCTGCCCAATGTACCATAAGGAGAGAATGGGAGTCATTGAGTAGGCTTATCTGAAACATAATCAAAGATATACCAAAATAAGTTTTAATAAGTATTTATGAGGGGTTATGCAGAAAATATTACATTAAGTTTATGAGCTGCTTGAAAGTTTTGGAAACACCACAACAACAGTCATGCTGGGCTCTATCTTATCTCTTAAATACATAAGATAGCAAGGAAAGTATAAATAAACAGTTGAGTGAAACCCAGCAATACAAACTGAAATGAAAACCGGTCTTGAAATTAAATATGATCAAAATGTAAAAGAGCTGTGTCATTAGAGTTAACCCCAACTTCACAAAACCCTTGGGCAAATTGCCAACCACCATTACTTGCTGTATCATGATTTAAGCATTTCTGGCAAACACAAATATTCTCGGAACAAGACAGCAACACGCAAAATTGATTAATGCCATTATAAAAACTAATTCAAATGTGTCCAAACAGTAAATAAATGTGCAGACAATGTGTTCAAAACGGCATGAGCAGGCGAAAACTTGTGGTTGAAAGAACTGGTATTCAGTTGAAAGAATGAATGAAATCCAAAAATGAAGGTAAGCTTCTGATATTGAAAGAAGTGCCTCCAGCTAAATATTATTGTATGTGTATGTGACAACTATAAAGGAAGGGGGAGGTCTCTCGGGGCGGGCACCCCCATCCACATAATGAGGAAAGAATGCCCGGCACATTCGCCCCGCATGCACCCGCATGCACTTGCACATGCACATGGGTGCATCCCTCGGCTCGGCTCGGGGTGCAGAGCCGACAATCAATATTGTGCAACGTACGTCACTGTCCGCCGGCCAGCGTACAAAGCTCTTTCACCACTGCGCAATTAGGGATTTGCCCCGCAAAAATATCCTTACCTTCGTGGCAATGGTCGAATTTTCGGGTCGAATGTCCCTTTTGGAGCGAAGGCCTGATAAGTGTTGGTCAAGGGACCCATACGATGACAGGTAATCATTTTGTCTGGAGTCAATTGTCACTGGACTTCTCCTCTCACGATGACTGTCTTTGTACATAGAAATTGTACTCGGCGGAAGGCCATGTCTCTCTGCCCAAGCCGCCGACACAAAAAGCAAAACGAGAAATGCTGGTGACATTAAGCTGCTGTCAGCGGACACCACAACATAGCACAATCACAAGAAAACTCTCCTCGAATCGGTATCACTGCGGGGCACTGCTTTGGGTGAACTGAGATACCGACCGACTTGACTTGTCTGCTGACAACACAAATCTGACGACTGCGCCCTCTAGCAGGGAGAAACGAAACTTCATTTCCGGGCCCACCAACTCCAAGAAACTGTGCACCTGGTGAAAAAAAAAAAAAAAAAGATTTCTGTCAACATTTACAGTCTATTTATTAAAACAAACAATTTAAAAATATATTTTGGTCCTTCGTGAATTTTGAAAATTCAATGGAAAAACTTAACATTTAGAATTTGCACATTTTTCAGTTACTGCACCGTATGCCGGCGACAGCAGAAGAGAAACGGAGAGAACAAGGTGCCTTCCAAGACCCGAAACAAAATAGTTTCATTTGAATTTTTTCTAATGAATGAATTTTTAAACTGAAATTCTAGTGTGAGTAATACTTCATTTTATATCTCTACTTCCTATGTCTAGTCTAAGTGAGTTTTGTCAGCTTAGCTCTGCCATTGACTGCCTTTTAATTGTGAGCATGTTGTGAGTTTAGGTTAGAATATCGTTTTCCAAAATATATGCAGATTTTTTTCGTTTGTCGCGTTACGTTTTGAAATCGGACATTTATCTGATAAAATTATATATATTTAAAAAAAAAAGTTCTTAAATTCTAACAGAAAAAAATCTCGGAAGACTGCCTTGTATGGTGCAATTTGTAACCTAGAATGGATGTGTTTAGAGCGTTGAATAGTAAACATTGTCAATGAATCTATTCAAACTCTTAGTCGTTCCGACACTAACGGTTCGGTTCAGGTCTAATGTAAAGGAGAAAGGGAAACCCAATCCAAATAGCTTGTTTACTGCATTCATTTTGGACTCAAACTGTATGTCGATATTGACTCGTTTGAAAGCCCCTTCTACCCATCTTCTATAATGGCCATAACTCTACCCACCATTCTTCTCTAGTCTTTAGCACAACTTTGAACACTATCTAAACGTGGCATTACCGTCACATTTTTACATGCTGAAGCAAAAAGTATGGTACTTTTTTCTGTGTGTGAATCAAATGCCTTGGCAATAATATCACAACCACAAGACGTTGAGTTGAATCTCAGACATGTATTAGATATGATGCTTCTGACTGTGGTCTTTGTCATGTTGTAACTGTTCTAGAGTTCTGATTTCTTATGTTGAATTTCAGTACCCACTTTGAAAACTCAGTGACACTTCACAGTCTACCCTGCACAGCAGACCAGTGCTTTTAGTTCATGATTTTTTCTCAGTTTTTCCTATTTTACTGTCATACTACATTTTAATACCTAATGTACTTCAACGTTAGGATCCTTTCCCAAAATTACATCATTTGCATTGCGTTTGGAGGTGAGAGTGGGGCTTCCCCGAACGCTGCCGGACAACTGACTCAAAGGCGTGGGTTGCTGCGCTAGGAAAGGGCGGTCTGTTTGCGCTGAAGTACCAGACCCAGCAGTACTCGCAGTACAGTAGAGCACCGGGTTGTACCGTGTTACCAACCCAACCGCCGCGGCCCGCGCCGGCGTTGGCTGGCTAATAATAAGTAGGGCAACGTCTGCCTGCATGACTATTATTTGTACTCGCGAACCACACACACACTCGGACTTTCGCGAAAACCTTCCGGGATGCGATACGCCTCTCGGCCCGCACCCCCTCACAAGTGATACGGCCGCTCGGGACCAAACTGTGTGGAGGCACCCCGAGGTCGTCAGGCGTGAATCACTCTTTCCGACTGATATCGTGGTGGTGTGGG